ACTGTGTCGAGTTCATACTTGTTTTAGGAAGTCCCACAGCAACAAGAATCTAATATAATCTACAGATATAAAAAGTATCTTATAATTCTTAAAAATATGGCCCCCAAATTTCTACATGTATTTGTCAAAATAACTTACGCTTTGAAATATCATGAAACTAAAATAAATACGTTAACTTCCTAATGCTAAACGATGAGATAACTTATTTTAATATAAAAAAAATTTATATTTTTAGATATCTACTGAAAGTTATCTGCCGCCATCCCTAATTTTGAAATTCCGAACACAGAGAAGTAAACAGACAAGTAGCACCCACCGCGAACTCTTGGACTAATCTTTATTAACGAAAAGTGGGATTGATCGTCACAGTATAATACTTCCACGGCTGAAAGGACGAGCACGTTCGGTGCCAGGTGTCGATTCCATGACACGCGGATTGCTAGTTGAGTGCCACCCTAACAACTTGACCATGCCAGGTCAGATGAGATACTAAAAAACTAACAAGTAGTGTGACCAGATACTCTGAAGTAATAGTGTAATAAACTGTATTCAGGAAGTATGTACACAGGATAATCCCGGTAATTAATTTTTGACTATGAACTACTCTCTCGTAGATGTACTCGACCACAATGGTGCACAATATTTATCTACAATTTCAAGTATATGTTGATATAAATAATTCAAAATGCTTGCAAATAACTCACGTTTCAAAACATTATAATTACACCGTATGTATAGATATCTCTCATATAATAACAGAACGTGTTATTTGCTATCAACTACACGAAATATTAAAAACAATTCCGAGGTTACAAAAGTTTACGATTTGTAACGGATTAGTTCACACTTTAATGTGGTTTATTTTCAACATGAATAGTTTTTCACATGAAAGCTAAGCAGCATATTATTTCCACAAAATACGAGACCGAAAGTTGGTTAAAAATGTTCATAATAAAAGTCACGCGAATTGCTCATGACTAAAATTTTCTAGTGGAGACGCTCTACGCATTTTAAATTTTATAGGGTGAATGCCAAATCCTTCCTTCAAATGTTTTATATAGAAAAATGATTAATAGTAGAGCTTTATACGAATTTGCAGTTGCTTTTACATGGCATATAAGAATTGTGATGTCACCGGCGACATGTAATTATATTCGTTTAGTGAAATTGTTAAATGATGGAGAGGCAACAACACATTTCGATGATAGGAGTCTTCAATGTTTTCCACGGAAGTATTTACATCAACAACGATATCCAAAACCACATCTTTAGCCAATCCGAATCAACATTACCATTCGCAGAGTCAAAGCTGTGGTTACGAAAGAGGGCCTTCCGGCTCAAAAAGCTATTAAGATAAAGCTGGGAATATATTATACTGTTAACAAGATAATAAATTATAATTTTAAAATGACGAAGGCTCGCATGTCAAACTTCACAAAATCAAAATACTCATATTCGCCCATATCTCACCAATTTTTGAACAGGATCCAATTATAATGTCAGGTGTTGTTACGAAGATAGAGAAGCTGGCATTCCAATTCAAGTAGTCAAATATCATGTGGTCAGTTTTACTTATTTGAAGTTCTTTCCCAAGTGAAACAACTGCGTTTAGTGACTAGTTTTGTTTGATTTTTGGCCTAGTGTCATTTACTCACACTCAACGTAAGCCTTCTCAAAATATCTTAATTAACTAAAGGAGGAGTACTTCGTACAAACAAAAACAGTAATAACACATCAGCATGATAACGCACAACTGTAAAAATAAATAAATAAATAAACAAAAAACGACTAGTTTCGACAATCCAAGCATGTCATTCTCAAGGGCTATTAAATCTTAACTTTGAGATATTAATTGCTCCCCCCCCCCACCTCACCCCCACACACAATTGGCTCAAAAGTAAATTTTGTTGAAAATAAATAGTAATGGAAATCATAGCATTGAATAAATAGGAAGTTTCCTTTAAACCTTTGAACATTTGTGTTTCCTGCTGGTATTAACTTTCTATTAGATTCCGCAAACAGTATCATTTTAAAACCACGTTCATTTCTGTGTTGTTATAAATAATTCAATGCTAAGTCTCCTTTGTGTATGATGTCCTATGTTCATATAACTTTTATTCCATAAATAATGTTCCACTTCACAAATGAAGAAAAATCAATGGAAACGTTCTTAATTATACATAGTATGAGGAGAATGTTAATCGAAAAAAGTTTACAAATAAGAACTCGCCGTGCACTTTCTAACTACTTATCTTATAGTGTTAGTTAGACCGTGTCAGTCGTGAATCAGCGCATAATAACCCATGCCAATGACGTCACCATTCGTTTGCTCCACATAAAATAATTCATAAACTAAGAACGTCTTGACGTTATACCTAGTCAGTAATCTACTATAATTTGCTTGTTTAATTTATCGTTAACCATGCTCATATTTTCGTGCGGATCGACAAACAAACGGTCAGCTGGCAACTTTATCCAAAGCCCGAGTTGGCGTGAATGTTTTTAATTAAGAAAGACGAAAACTAGGCTCCAGTGTTTAATTTCTTTTAGTATAAAATTCAAACTGATGGTAGCGATTTTTTTTCATCTGTATCGCATATAAATTGACAAGTCAGAACACTGCTTAAAGAAACCGAAAATAAAACAGAAAAAACACCAACACCCCAAACAAGACAGTGTGAGGGTCAGTATTTGACAAACGTGGTAGTTTTTATGTATAACACCAACACCCAAGACAAGACATTGTGAGGGTCAGTATTTGACAATCTTGGTAGTTTTTATGTATAACACCAACACCCCAGACAAGACATTGTGAGGGTCAGTATTTGACAATCTTGGTAGTTTTTATGTATAACACCAAGACAAGACATTGTGAGGGTCAGTATTTGACAAACTTTGTAGTTTTTATGTATAACACCAACACCCCAGACAAGACATTGTGAGGGTCAGTATTTGACAAACTTGGTAGTTTTTATGTATAACACCAACACCCCAGACAAGACACTGTGAGAGTCAGTATTTGACAAACTTGGTAGTTTTTATGTATAACACCAACACCCCAGACAAAACTGTGTGAGGGTCAGGTATGAATGCTGAAGAGTTTGTATTCACCCAATAAGACCTTTACAGTGGCAACATTTGATTGTTATCTCCCTGAAACCACATCTGGCCCACCAATAATTGGTAGGCAGGTATATTATCACTAATAATAGTATCAGTACGACTCGAACCAAAATGTTTCGTTGCAGTACAACATTGAAATATTTAGCAAAATGTATCATTACTTTGTGTAGAAAAAAAAAAGTCAAACATTTGATGTTTGCAATTTTTTAAGCTTGGGAACTGTAAAATGTGCCTTTACAAGTTTTTGGTAATTTGCGAAAGCTCCCTAAATTTTATATTACCGCAACAGAACATCTGCTTCGAAGTGAATAGAAAGCTGCCTGCAAAAATAAATGTTAGTCCCTTCAAAGACTTTTAATAGATTTTTTGACACACTGTAACTGACCAAAACGAGGTTACTGTAATCTTACTTAAGGGTGTAGTGGTGCCGGAGGATTCGCTCCGACACCTGAAATTGGATTTGAATCCCTGACACTTCAAAAACTAAAAATATTTATGTATAAAAAAGTTTTTCATTTATCAACTGAAATTAAGTGTCTTTCATAACCAAACACTTGACCAAAGATCACTTTATTTATTTTTTTTGCTATTCATGTTGGCAGGACAGGAGGTATGCAAGGCATCATAAAACTCAAAGTTGTTAATATCATAGTGAAGTTAGGGAGATATTAAAGTAATAAAATATGCATTTAAAAACTATAATTGGACACTCAACGTTTCGTATTACAGCTTCTTCTGAAGAAGCTGTAAAGCGAAACGTTAAGTGTCCAATTAAAGAAATATAAAGTTGGTGTGATAGCGTCGCTTATTTCTAGTATTAAAACTGTCTTTTATACACCAATATGCACCATAGAAATTATATAACGAAATTTTAAAACTCGTTTTAATGTTATTGACTTTTATTTGGTAACCAGTTTTTCTTCCTTTCTGCATAATTTGATTAAAATAAGTTGAGTTGTGTGTTTTTTCTATACTACACACATATTCAATTTGCTCTTAATATAAGTAGATTGAAATAATTAGTGTTGAAGGTATTTTCTTTATTTAAAATGGACTAAAAAAGTTGAAATTGGCCTTTGAGATCTCTACCCTTATGGTGACGTCACACGTCTGGCAAATTTTGGCAAGGCTCTGGCACCATAAAAGTTAGCACTACATCACCGAACTTACTTGGTCTTTGGGTACGTAGCAGAGGGATTTTTCAAGTATTTACGTTATTCATTTTCTCACTTTTAATGATTTTAACAACCATTTTAATTTTTCCCTTGCTACTGTCTTAATGCCGACGCACATGTGAAACCAGTGAACTAAGTGACGTGCCTGTCGCGAGTACCTTAGTTAGTTAACTACAATATTTTAAGGTACAGGATATTTTTTTACGTGTACATAATGTAAATGTGAACTTCATTATTGTGGTTAGGTATAAATGTAACGGTTAATTAAAGATATTAAGAATGACGTAAGCCCAAAGTAAAAAAAAAGGAATCCACAAGAACGACACGTGTCTGTATTCAAAAAGAACAGGGTGAAAAGATAAAAAGATCACCGCCATAGCGCCCTTGTTGTTTCATTCAGAAGTTGAAAACTAATTCTCCACGTTTAAAAACTTCATTCAGTAAGCTTCCAGTTCCATTACAGCAACCTGTCATCAGGCTTTGAAAATTCTGAGTTCAATTCTTAATCAAACAATACACACACACACACAATTAAAACACAGACAGGTAACACAAGACTTGAAACATTAATCAAGGAAGAACAACTGTCATCACTAAATAGAAACAGCTTCTCAGACAAAACAAGACAAAAATACAACATCAACCCAGGCTGTGTGTACAGTGGGAGTATAACATATTAAGATCATCAGAGTACAAACTTACCAACTGTCAGCTGTAACACACCAAGACAACCATAAGCATCCAACAGAGGTGAATACTGACGCTTCACCATATCAGTTTCATGCTCAGCTGCAAAACAAAGGATGAGTAATTATAATTCAACCTAATATAGTAGCTTTAAAGTACCAAAAATTAAATGAAACATGAACATAATAACACATTTAGTCTTTAAAAATAAACCCTTTAGAATTTTATGAATTTATGAAACAAAATACATGCCTTTTTTTTTCATAGTTATCATAAAGCACCATACAGAGTTAATTAGATTCTGGTGTTGTTTATGAACTTCAAAGGAGCTTTGTTTAAAAATGTTACCTCTATAGAACTTAACCTTTATTCCTAACATACATACTTGTGTATATATAGGAGAGGAGAAGAGTCAGAGGGGGTTTGATTGAGGTGTTTAAGATTATTAAAGGTTTTGATAATATAGATCCATCAAACGTTTCTGTTTTTAGCAGTGAAAACAATAGGACAAGGGTTCATAAATTCAAATTTTGGCAGTGTAGGAGTTGTCTGCAGTTTATACAGTATTACTTTTCAAACAGGATGGTTGGCTTTTGGAATGAGTTGTCTTCAAGGGTGGTGGAGGCAGAAAATTTAACTGAGTTCAAGAAAAGATTGGATAAAGACATGAGTAGTAAGGGATGGTTATAGTTTGGAGCTCGAAGGAACATCCTTGATGGGCTAATTAGCTCCTTTTTATAAAGAAAACAACAAGTTTAGAGATTTTAGTCTCTCCTCATAGGATAATCCTACCATCCAAGATATCATTCTAGTGGCTCTTCCCTGAACCTTCTGCAACAATTCAATGTCCTTCTTAAGGAAGGGAGCCCAAAACTGTACACAGTACTATAAATGAGGCCTTACAAGTGATCTATGCAGTGAAACAATAATATCCCTTGTCTTGTATTCAATATTTCTATAGATGCTACCTGAAATTCTTATAGCTCTATTGCTAGCTAAAATACACCGTTTAGATGACTTAAGTGATTTTTCGATCACAATACCAAGATATTTTTCTTCAACCACAGTATTTAATGTATTTTCATTTAAATTGTAACAATAATTTGAATTGTGAAAATCTACATGCATCACCTTACATTCTGGATAGCTAAACATCATCTGCCACGTATTGGCCCAATGCATCAAATGATCTAAATCTCCCTGTAAGTCTGCAGCATCTTTGATACAGTTAGCCATCCCAAAAATTTTAATATGATCTGCAAACTTCAAAATTTTGTTAGTCATTCCAGAGTCAATATCATTATTATAATTCACAAACAGCAGAGGACCCAGCACAGAGCCATGATGCACACTACTTGTATCTGTAATGCAGTCAGATATAACTCCATTTATTACTACTCCCTGCTTTCTACTCTTCAGCCAATTTTCTATACAATTTGATAACCCTTCCCCCACACCCACATATTTAATTTTCATAACAAGTCTTTTGTCTATTCAATCTACATGTATATAAAAAATGAAGCCAATGTTTACAAGAGAACGAAACAACAAAAAACACTGGATTATGCCACTTTTTTGTAATCATTACAGGGAGGTTCTTCAACTACATTGTTATCTAACCTTCATTATTTTTTAAGCTAACAGCTACCTAACTGTGCACTTACAACATAACTGGAAGAGAATCAAATATCAATATTGATCTATAAATTCAAATACAAAATTATATATAATTAAAAGTAATATCACTCTTATGTGTACAATAATTTTCTCTTGCCAAAATACTTGTGATTTCATTTAGTAGACTCTTGTTTATGTAATCAGCATACTCTCACAGGATTACTTCTCCAGCTAATAACCTCTTCGTATGTTACCATGTGTTTAGAATAGTACCTGTTTTACTCCATTCGAGACTAGATAATGTGAAGATCAAGAACAAGGAAGGTAAAACCACATCAGAAGGTGACCATTTTCTTGTAAATCATTTTGATTCTAAAATATATTTATATGTAGATAAATATACAACTACAACAACATGTCAAATTACAGGCAATGTTCAGTGTGAAATAAACAGGCATACACCATAGAAACACACAAGCCACAAGATGTGATAAGCTGTAAAAGATTCTAAGAGTCCATACACAGGTGAACATGATACTTGGGTCACAAAAAATGGAAAGACAGACATGTAAACCTTCCAAAGAGTATGATGAATCATGGCAACCTGATGACATGATATGTTCATGAAGTAACATGTAAAATGGAAAAAAGATGAAATGTGCAACAGAAGACACCAAATGCTGACTGGTTATTACAGACACATGTGATACAGAAATATAATCACTTTTCCTGACAAAACAAGAAGATACTGTTATAGTCTACATCAGCAATGGAAATACTAAAATGCAGAAGATACAAAATCATTTCTTTAATATCTTTAAAAAGACAAAATCATCAGAAACACAGAGCATAACAACATTTGGTTAAAAATAAATAGTGTAGTGTTTGGTGCTGTGCATATTAAGCATCTTTTCTAAACAACCTCAATTACTTGCTGCTAGAGGCCTAAGAACATTCCACTTCTGATGCCATAATTTGTGTTATGTCATTATTTATGTAAAATCCTCCAATAAGACTGTTTAGACTGGAAAAATGTTAAGAAATATAGTGTTACAAGAATCTAAAAAACTATGCATGAGCCAAGTAACAACAAACTATTCAGACAAGGGACTGCAAATGATCTTAAAATGAGAACCTCAGAAGAAACATCAAGAAGAAATATGAAAATAAACAAACAAAAACATCACTTTCTTTGAAAAAGACTATTAGCATTCACATAAATGTCACACACACACAAATTACACGAGTTAGAGAAGAAATAAATATGGGCTAAAGTCTAATGCTCCAATTCCATACGTTAACATACTGAGAAAGAGGGGCAAAAGAAATAAGGCTGTAAGAATCAACAAATTATGATAAAAATGATATTTTAATCAAAATCTAAGATCCACAAAAGAAAAGTGAAGAAGGAGCCCACAGAAGAAACAAAAGTAAGGAATTTGGAATAGAAAAGAAAATAAGACCATCACAAAATATTTAAACTGGTTATGTCCAGATTACCAAAGCACAAGAAGAACAAAATCGAAGTGTAGCTTTCCTGGAAGAAAACTCAACTCTTTTAATAAAGAACCGATAGCATCTAACCATACTAACAAAGCCAAATGTTCCAATGAAAGATCAAATATTTACTATTCCCAAAACATAAAGCATCCAAAAGAAGGATACAGAGCTTTTCCAAAGAAGAATAAAAAATTAATACTGAGCAGGAAAATAAAAGAATTATGAGGAGATCTCAACTTAAAGCTTGAACTATGATACATGTAGTAGGTGGGTGTGAAGGAGCTACTACAACTATCTTTGACTCAGGGACTGACATGGAGAGTCACACGATAAATTTTAATTTAAAAAATATTTTGTGAAAGAAATCTCTTCTAGATGTTCACAGGTAATTTTGAGCAAATATGACAAAGTAAAGAACGTTTCCTAATGAAGAGATCTCAAAGAATTTTAAGGTTTTGTAAATCAGTTTGTTTTAACTTAGCTGGAAAACAAGGAAACAAAGTGCTAAGTCTCAAACACTGAAAATGTTCACTGCAGTCATAGTAATAGACTAGAATAGATAACAAATTATTAGAAGTTTTAAAAGAATTATTCCCACAAAAGTATATGTAGAAGATCGCTCACAGCTTTGAAGTAGCAAAACATAGAAAAAAAATTAAAGGTGAAAATACCTCAAATTTTATTGTTCAACATGGTTTCTGCACAAAGAAAGGTTTATGTAACTGGTACTACACCAAATAAGAACAAACTCAACTGTACAGTAGTACCAAAAAATCATAAAGAGTTTAGTTGTTTGTTTTATTTTAGTACATAACTACACAATGGGCCACAAGTGCTTTGTCTACTGCAAGGAATCAAACCCCAAATTTTAGTGTTGTAAGTATTTAAAGTTACAGCTTACCCAATGGGAAAAAAATATATATTCTGAACATCTGAAAATGGATGTCAGGGTGCTGTTGGCTGGTACATTTAAATAGATGTTGATCCCATATATGAGAAATAAATAATGACTTACAGGAATGTGACCAGGAAGTGACATGAGAGTGTGTAATGAAATAAATTTAAAATAAAGCTAGATAAATGTGTTCCTTTAAATAATCCATCATTCAGAAAATCTTATAGAAGAATAATGCTTAAAATGTTTATGAAATTTGACATATAGTGTTTCAAAATTTTATATATAAATATTAAAACACTGTGATATGCTAATTCATACATTTAAAAACAAAATCTATGTAAACACCACAAAACAGATTTATTCTTTATAATTTCAGGGAATCTGTATGTGCAAAGTTCAACAGGGCATCACTAGAACTAAACAACAAATAAAAACATGTCAGCCAAAATAAAAGGCATGAAAAAACTCATGTTTCGGTGACTGCTGGTCATCATTTGGAAAGGACTGCCAACTTCAACAGTACATGTAAATGTGCATCACCATAAATTTGAATGCAACTACCTCAAGAGTATATTTTCAGTTGTCTAGAATCTACCTCTGCCTTTTCCACAGTCTTTAGAAGCACTGTTTTAGGAATAAGTAATGTTGATAAATTCTGATAATTTCATTTGTTTTTCTTTTTATAAAGTTATTTTCAATATTTTCTGTTAACCTAAAATATCTGGAAACAATACAAACATGTAGGTAAAAGGGTGTGAAGGCTATGTTCAGTTTAATTCTGATGCTATAGTTAGTTGGTTCTGAGGGTAGAAGAGTGACCTCATGGGCTCAATGGCTTTGTGTCACATAAAGGAACACTATGATCTTATGCTAATACAAAATACTTACAACTACATGTAATGTATATAGTCTTAATATTGTACCTGAAACTCCACACAATCAGTCATAACTGTTCGAGCATGTATATGAGCATGCATGTATACTACACATTAGGAAATGTACATAATTGAGTACTGCATATTTTACCACAAAAGTAGTAAGATGACAGACCATGTATACACAACACAATGTTTTTACACTGTACCAA